TGGTAAGTCTGAGTCGCCCTCGCCCAGGGGTCCACTCGCTGGCTGGAGCTTGTGGTAAGGGAAGATAGGCTGTGGTGACCTGGTAAGCTGGTCATCAGCGTATGTGGGGACCCCTGCACGATCACACAGTGTAGTGATGAGGGAAGGGAATATCAGACCTAGAGAGGTATCACCTAAGCATCGTTGGATCTCAGCGTGTATTATCGCGCCCACATTCACAGGTGTCCTCGTCATAATGGCATACATCACTGTAAGACGTGGGGCATAGGTCTTGGCTGTCGACTTTGTGGGCATGAGCCTGCTACTGACGAAGTACATCCATACCTTCGCTTCTCTTGAAAGTTCCCCCCGACGGAACCAGTGCTCTCCTCGTTTCCACCTCGAACCCCTAGGGCAAAGAGTCTGAATCAGCTGCTCATAGGTCGTTGCCATCTTTAGTTGTTGAAACGGCTCGGTCAGGACTTCGGGTATGTGGAAAAAATTGTTGATTGTAGCAGCGTCATAGTGCACCTCTTTGTCACGAAGAACGACCACCGACCCCGCGTGAAAACCGGCATTGGCATAGAAAAGCCTCACTAGATTCTCATTGTAGTCCTCCGGTCGTTTGGCCAAGTACTCCCATTTTCGACGATCAAAGCTTGTTCTGATCGATTTTTTTTCCATGCCATAGATATCTAATTCCCTTTCAGGAACAAACGGTCGGCTATGGCGACGTATAAATTCTCTCTTGGCCTCGACGTTCACGTACAAAAACTCATCTCCCGGTTCGAGGACTACGTGGTCAAGGATTGTGTGTTGATTAGCACGGGAGCCCATCTCAAGTTGCACGTTTCCCGTGCGTGGGGTTTGTTGCTCTTCCGGCACCTCAGATGGTGGTGGTGCGCTCGAAGTGCCTTCTTGGCTTCCCGTGCCTCGAGAAGTTGCCTTTTTCTTCGGTGGGGCTTTTCCCTTTGCCCGAGCCTTCTCCTTGACATTTGGTTGGGCTTTTTTTGTGGTTTCGCCCGTCTTTAAGAGTTTCTTGGCCAGCGACGTCATTTCGTTCGAATTTGTGCGAGATGGAGGGTCGAAAGCTTTTGGAAGTTCGTTCGGGAATTTTGTCGAACACGTGGCGTGCCCAACTTGGTAAGCCTTTTGGTTTCCACCGGTTGTTCGGTACCTAGCCCTCCTACATCAATCACAACACCCCAAGTGAGAATCCACCACAACATACAACAATAGGTAGCTAAACAACCAACCCAAATCAATCAAAATTTTTATTTTATTCTTCATTTTGAAATTAAGAACAATAGGGCAATTCCTATATCTAAACATTGGTTCACCCACAAATTCATGTTTTGAATCCCAACACCAAGTACAAAATCACGTACTAGCATACACAATTAACAAACAAGGGGATAAATTCATGAAATTTTGGGGGAATTAGAAAGAATTGAAGAAAAAAAAATAAAATTGAGGACTAGATTGAAAATTTACCTTTTCTTGAAGATTCACCCACAAATTCTTGGAGTAAATGTGCAAATCATGAATTTGTGATGATCAAGTGTGTGATTGATGTGCTTTTTATGAAAGAAATTGAAGATTTTGAAATTGGGGAGGGGTTAGGGTTTGGAATTAGAAAAGGGAGAATAATAAAATGATAAGGGGTTTGCCTTTTGAACTATTTTCGACCCCAGATCGCGATCCACCATACCCGGATTGCGATCTGGAGGCTTACCTTGCAGCTTCTGGAAAAAGGCCCCAGATCGCGATCCACCGTACCCGGATCGCGATCTGGCCCCAAATATCGCAGCTTCTGGAAAAACGTCCCAGATCGCGATCCGACTTACCTGGATCGCGATCCGGGCCCAAAATTGGTGGCTACTGGAAAAACACCCCAGATCGCGATCCGACGTACCTGGATCGCGATCCGGGCCCAAAACTCGCTGCTACTGGAAAAACACCCCAGATCGCGATCCGACGTACCTGGATCGCGATCTGGTCTACCTAAAACCTGCCAAAACGAAAATTTAAATGGGTGAGGTAGAGATATTGAACCCTAAATTATAAAAATGCACGAAAATGCTAAAAATAAAAAACGCAAACAAGAACAAAAGGAAAATGACAGATAATGAACAACAGTGGGGTGCCTCCCATTTAGCGCCTGTTTTACAGTCGACGGCTCGACTTCTTTTGAATTTATTGGGAGAAAATTAGTGCGACACGCTCCACTTCCTCGGGAGCACCATTCGGGTAGTAATGCTTAACTCGTTGCCCATTCACTTTGAATGACGGACCGTCTCGTCCTCGTATTTCGATAACTCCTTGCGGGGTTGCGCTCAGGACTACGAATGGTCCCGACCAACGGGACTTGAGCTTTCCCGGAAATAGTCGTAGCCGAGAATGGAATAGCAGGACTTGGTCACCTGCCCGAAACTCTCGCTTTGTAATTCTTTTGTCATGCCACTTTTTCGTCTTTTCTTTGTAAATCTTGGCATTTTCGTAAGCATCGTTTCTGAACTCCTCCATTTCGTTGAGTTGAAGCAATCGACGATCGCCGGTAGCTGTTTGATCGAAATTGAGATTTTTGACTGCCCAATAAGCTCGGTGCTCCAATTCCACTGGCAGGTGGCACGCTTTCCCAAACACGAGTTTGTACGGAGACATCCCAATCGGTGTCTTAATTGCGGTTCGATAGGCCCAAAGTGCATCATCGAGCTTCAACGCCCAATCTTTTCGGCTCGTGCTCACGGTCTTCTCCAGAATCTGTTTGATTTCTCGGTTTGACAACTCAGCAAGGCCATTTGTTTGCGGATGATAGGCAAGCGCTATTTTGTGTCGGATCCCCAACTTGTTCGTGAGATTAGTGAGCAGTTTGTTGCAGAAGTGAGATCCTTCATCGCTAATGATCGCCCTAGGTGTCCCAAACCTTGAGAATATGTTCTTGTGGAAGAATTTGAGGACCGTACGAGCATCGTTGGCAGTGGTGGCAATCGCTTAGACCCATTTGGACACGTAGTCCACGGCAAGCAAAATGTAACACTTCCCGTTCGAATAAGGGAATGGTCCCATGAAGTCTATGCCCCAAACATCGAAAAGCTCCACCTCTTGCATGTTATTCAAAGGCATTTGGCTTTTGTTGGATAGGTTCCCTGTTCGTTGGCATCGATCACATCGTTTCACGAACTCGTAACTATCTCGGAATAGGGTTGGCCAAAAAAAGCCTGACTACAGAACCTTGGCGGCTGTGCGAGATTCCCCGTGATGCCCGCCACAAGGTGAAGAGTGGCAATGCGTGAGAATCTCACGTACTTCTGTTTCCGGAACACATCTTCGGATGACACGATCGGGGCCGGTTCTGAAAAGCAACGGCTCGTCCCATAGATAGAAACGACTGTCGTGAAGGAATTTTTTCTTTTGGTGATAAGATAGATTGTGAGGAATGATTCCACTGGCCAAGAAGTTGGCCGCATCAGCATACCACGGAGTGTGAGCATTAATGGCGAGCAGTTGCTCGTCTGGGAATGATTCCTGAATATTTCCTTCGGCTGGAACTTCTTCTAGTATGAGTCTGGAAAGATGATATGCGACCACATTCTCGCTCCCTTTTTTGTCTCAGATTTCCAAGTCGAACTCCTGGAGTAGGAGTACCCATCTAATGAGTCTGGGCTTGGCGTCCTTCTTTGCGAACAAGTATCGAATAGCTGCGTGATCGGTGTAAATGATCACCTGAGACCCCAAAATATATGGTCTGAACTTGTCAATGGCATAAACGACAACAAGCATTTCCTTTTCGGTCGTTGAATAGTTCTTTTGTGCCTGGTCAAGTGTACGACTCGAATAGTAGATGGCTTTGAAGATTTTGTCCCTCCTCTGCCCCAACACTGCTCCTACAGCATAGTCGCTCGCATCGCACATGATCTCGAATGGTTCCTCCCAATTGGGAGTAATCATAATCGGTGATTGGGTTAACTTCTCCTTGAGAAACGTGAAAGCCTGCAAACAAGAAGAATCAAAATCAAAGACGGCTTCCTTCTCAAGCAAATGACATAATGGTTTTACTATTTTCGAAAAATCTTTAATGAATCTACGGTAAAACCCAGCATGCCCTAAAAAACTTCTAACCCCCTTAACATCCTTCGGTGGAGGCAATTTTTCAATCGTTTCGATTTTTGCCCTGTCCACCTCTAGACCCTTTTTCGAGACCTTGTGACCTAAAACAATACCTTCACGAACCATAAAATGACATTTTTCCCAATTCAAAACAAGGTTCGTTTCTGTACATCTTTTCAAAACAAGTTCCAGATTGTGCACACAATGATCGAAAGACGATCCAAACACAGAAAAATCATCCATAAACACCTCAAGAAATTCTTCTACCATATCATGAAAAATAGACATCATACATCGTTGAATGGTAGCAGGTGCATTACACAAACCGAAAGGCATTCTACGAAATGCAAAAGTACCGTAGGGGCAAGTAAAAGTAGTTTTCTCTTGGTCTTCCGGGGCAGTTGAAATTTGATTGTACCCCGAATAACCATCAAGAAAACAGTAATACTCGAAACCTCCTAGCCTGTCTAGCATTTGATCGATAAAGGGAAAGGGGAAATGGTCTTTTCTAGTGGCTGCATTCAATAATCGGTAATCGAAGCATACTCGCCACCCAGTGACTGTCCTAGACGGAATAAGTTCATTTTTATCATTCACAGTAACCGTCATCCCACCCCTTTTTGGCACAACCTCCACCGGACTGACCCACGGACTGTCAGAAATTGCATAAATCATACCAGCGCCTAACAGTTTTAAGACTTCTTTTTTGACTACCTCTTTCATTGACGGGTTTAACCGCCTCTGAGGTTGGACTCTCGGTTTATAGAAGTATTCCATTAGAATTTTGTGTTGAACAATAGACGGGCTAATTCCCTTAATATCCTCAATAGACCAACCTATAGCCGACCTATATTCTCTAAGGACCTCCAGCAGTGTGTTTGTTTCGACCTCGCTCAAACTAGAAGAAATAATCACCGGATAAGTCCTGTCTGCTCCAAGAAAAGCATAACAAAGATAATCCGGTAATTGCTTCAATTCCAGTACGGGGGCCGTTTTCACACTAACTGGTATCTCAGGGACGATTCCTACCTCGTCTACGCCTAACATCTCGGCACATTCAAGAAACAAAACACAATCTAGCACATCATTTTCAATTGGAATTTCGGGGGAGGCAGATTGCAAATCAATAGAGTTAACAATGCAGTGCTCGATAGAATCACACAATTCATACAAATAAAAAAAGGAGGAAACACAATCCTCGATCACGTCTATTCTACTGCAATGCTCAACATGCTCAGAGTGTTTAAATGCATCTGTCAAATTAAAAACAACTTCTTCCCCATTTACCCTAAGCATTAAAGATCCTAATTCCATATCAATCATCGCCTTACCAGTGGCTAAGAATGGACGACCTAAAATGATTGGTGCTTCATCATCTTCAGGCATTTCAAGTACCACAAAATCAACAGGCAAAATGAATTTATCTACTTTAACTAGCACATCTTCTACAATTCCATCGGGATATTTCAATGAACGATTAGCTAGTTGTAAAGTCATGCGAGTGCGGTTCAAATTTCCTAAGCCCAGTTTTAGAAACACAGACATAGGCATCAAATTAATACTTGCCCCCAAATCACATAAAGCTTTATCGAAAGTAGAATTTCCAATAATACAAGGAATAGTTTAACTCCCTGGATCTTTCATTTTCGGTGGCAGATTCGACTGAATAATGGCACTGCAAGTTGCCGTGAGTGTCACTGGTATGTCTTCTTCGATCCGAATTTTCTTGGATAGAACTTCCTTCATGAACTTGGTGTAGTTTGGCATTACATCCAAGGCTTATGCAAAAGGGATGTTGATTCGAATCTGTTTGATCTTTTCAATGAACTTCTTCAATTGATCCTGGAACTTCTTCTTCTTCTGTCTTTCTGGAAAAGGGATAGGAGTTATCATAAGAGGGGGGTTATCAGGAAAAGAAATGTTATTGGGCTTACTTGCCTCTTTTGTACTACTCCCTGAAATGGTGATTTCCGGCTCGACCCGGGTCGGTTGTACAGCTGGCCTTGGTGACTCGTCTGTTGGATAAGGAGGATCGGCCATTTGCAAACCACTTCGGGTGGTTATGGCTTGACAACTTTCTTTTGGATTGACTTCAGTATTGCTCGGAAATCTACCCTTTGCCATAGTGGACATGGATTGGGCGATTTGCCCTATTTGCTTCTCCATGTTCTTCATTGTTGATTTCAGGCCATCCATTTCCTGTTCTTGTCGGTGAAGGCGCTCGTCATACGTTGGCCCTTGTTGCTCTCTTTGATGGTTGAAATCGGGAGGTGGTTGTAGAGCATTCTTTGGATTGACGTAGGAGAATTTCTCATGATTCCGAATTCCCGGGTGGTAATGAGTAAGGTTTTGGTTCTGATTGTTGGTTCCCCGGAAATTGTTGAATCGGTGGTTCATAAAGTGTGCGTGCTCCCAATCGTTGTTTGTGGCTTGTGAGGTACTTGCTGCTGCTACTCGTTCGGTCTGTGGCCCTCGAACTGATAATTGGGCGACCTGATTTGATAGAGTCGCTAATTGTGCTGAAACTGCGGCTAAAGGATCGAGTTGGTGGACTCCGGCCACCTTTTGTATACCACTCCGTTCGGACGGCCAATGGTAAGCATTCTCACACATTCGCTCGACAATGTCTCGAGCGTCTGTGGGAGTCTTGTTTTGCAATGATCCACCTGAGGCAGCATCGACTAGAGATCGGGCTGGTTGATCGAGCCCATTGTAGAATAACTCCATTTGATCCCACGGGTTGAATCCGTGTTGAGGGCATTGTCGTAATAAGTCCTTGAATCTCTCCCAAGACTTGTGCATCGGCTCTTGGCTCATCTGTCTGAAGTTGCCTACATCTCTTCGTGGTTGTGCGGTTTTCGAGGGTGGAAAGAATCGTGCCAGAAAGGCTTGTGATAATTCTTCCCAACAGGTAAGTGATCCTGGATTAAGACTCAGAAGCCAACTCTTCGCTTTGTCTCTGACTGAAAATGAGAATAGCTTCAACCGGATGGCATCATCAGAAACACCGTTAACTTTGATTGTGTCACAAATCTCTAGGAAATTGGCAAGATGGAGATTTGGATCCGCAGTGGCTGCTCCGGAGAATTGGTTCGCCATGACCATGTTGATTAGCCCCGTCTTTAGTTCGAAATTGTTTGCGGCTATCGTCGGTTTCCTAATTCCCGAATAGTTCTCATTCACAGCTGGAGTTCGGTATTCTCGCATTGTTCGCTCGGGTGGCATGTTCGGTCTTGGCTGCTCGTGATCTCGTCCTGGCTCTCGATCGTATTCAAAGGCCAGGTGCTCTGGATTTCCTTGATCGTCGGCCATTGGTTCACTTTGTTGGTCGCGCGTGGCCCTTAGTCTACGAAGTGTCCTTTCAATCTCGCGATCGTAAGGTATGATTTCCAAATTTCGACGCCTGGGCATAAACAAAGTGATCGGTTAAAATCAAGGTAAAAAAATCGAAAATAAAGCAGGTAAATAGCTAAAGTAATAATCAGATAATTGGTAACACTATCAGCAAAGATAAAATGAAATTGGTCCCCAGCAACGGCGCCAAAAACTTGATACGCGTAAAACCTACGTATATATTACCGCAAGTGTACAGTATCGCGTTTTGCAGAACAGTGGTTCCGGATATCGATCCACAGGGACCTTATAGATTCACATGCTGAGTAGTGCAATTATATTATCGTTATATTATCTAGCCAATCGTAAATATTTGGAATTGTGAGAAACCCTAATTTAAAAGCATGCAAGATCGTAAACATGCAAATAGAGAATGTACGCAAATTAAGTAATGACAACTCAACGCGAGGGACTTCGATTTAAAGGGGACTTCTAGGGCCAAATCCACCTATGTATAATGAACAACGATCTACAAATCCGTTATCTAATGCCACATTCCTATTCGTTAACCCAGACGCTAATGTACTCTAACCCCCGTCTCAAGTGTAGTTAAAGTCTACCCACAGGTCCGACGTCTCCGTTCAGAACCTGCTATTAAGAGAGCATTTAGGTCAGGTCCTTAAGGGCTACCCGAAGTGCATCACATCTCCGTTTCCACACCCCGAGCTATGTTTTCCTAACTTCAAACAAGAAATCCTCTCTCGAGTTCATTCCTATTTAATATCAATCTGAGAGCTGATCAACACAATCAGAAGCATTTAATACAAGAAAACATAAACGAAATCAAAACACGACAAATAGATAACAGAAATGACGATCGAAATCAATATATACAAGGCTTCATTGCCCTAGAAGAAAATGTTCTTAGTTCATAACAAACATAGTATCAAAAGAATGTACAAAGGAAATGAAGAACAAAGCGTAAAGAAATTGCGTAAAAAAAACCCAAGTTGAAACCCCCGTTGATGATTCCCGCGAAGAACCGTCGAAAACCGTAAAAAGTCGAAGAAGACACGAAGAATGAGGGCTTGCTTCTATTTATAGTAAATTGCAAAGCTTCCTCAAGAAGCTTTGCTTTTGAAAATATCTGCCCTCGAAAATCGTGCCAGATCGCGATCCAATAAAGCCAGATCGCGATCTGGCTTCTCGAAAAAATGTGAACCGCCATCCCAGATCGCGATCAAGGAAGTGCGGATCGCGATCTGTCCCAAAATCACGATGCTACTGGAATTTGTCACCAGATTGCGATCCGACTTTCCTGGATCGCGATCTGGGTCTGAACTTGCTTGCTACTGGAATTAGCATCCAGATCGCGACCCGAAGTTCCTGGATCGCGATCTGGGTCTTAATGACCACTTTCTCGGCTTGAAAAATCGGTTTCGCTTCCAAATTGCTTCGACTTGGCAACAAAAGCTAACAAAACCTAAAAAAGGAAATAAAACAAGAAACACAATAATATATACAAATAAAGCCGAAACTCGGACGAACGAAGACCAAAACTCGAAGATTTGATAAGCAAAAATCGTGCAAAACGAACACTTATCATCTATGTACAGGCTTTGGGATAATCCAAGCATCTTTCTTGCTCTATCTCTATAGATGCGTATTCCTAATACATAAGATGCTTCTCCCAAATCCTTCATTGAGAAACGTGTGGACAACCATGCTTTCGTTTGTTGCAACATTCCTACGTCATTCCCAATGAGTAGAATGTCATCAACGTAAAGCACTAAAAATATCACTGCCCTCCCACTAACCTTCTTGTATACACAAGGTTCCTCCAGATTCTTCTCAAAATCAAACTCTTTGATAGTTGAGTCGAACCTAATGTTCCAACTACGGGATGCTTGTTTCAATCCAAAAATGGATCGCTGGAGCTTGCAAACCTTTTGCTCACTTCCAGGAGATATGAAGCCTTCCGGCTGCGCCATGTAAATTTCTTCCTCAATATCTCCATTAAGGAAGGTGGTCTTCACATCCATTTGCCATATCTCGTAGTCGTACCACGCAGCTAAGGCCAGAAAAATCCTAATGGACTTCAGCATCGCGACTGGCGAAAAGGTTTCCTCATAGTCAACACCTTGCCTTTGAGTGTATCCTTTCACTACCAATCTAGATTTATAGGTCGATACCTTTCCATCCACTCCAATTTTCTTCTTATAGGTCCACACCTTGTTGGAGTACATGGAGTCCATCTCGGATTTCATGGCAGTTAGCCAATGTCCCATGTCCGCATCCGATACGACCTCATTGTATGTTCTTGGATCTTGTCCAAGATCAACATGATATTCATCATTCTCGAGGAGGAATAACCTATCCGGCATTTTCCGAACTCTTTTGGATCTACGTACCGTAGGTTCAAGAGGTATATCAGTGGTTTGTTGTATTGGTTCGATTACTTGTTCTTGCGTTTGAACTTCACTTTGTGGTTCTTGAACTACTTCAAGTTCTATCATGCTGCCTTTTCGATCGGATAGAAACTCCCTTTCCAAAAACGTGGCATTTCTCGAAACAAACGTCTTTGCTTCCTTGACATAATAGAATTCGTATCCCATTGAGTCTTCGGGATATCCCACAAAATAGCATAAGTCGAATTTAGTATCTAACTTGTCTCCCACTAATCACTTCACATAAGCGGGACAACCCCATATCCTAATATGTTTGTAGTTGGGTTTCCGGGAATGCCAAAGTTCATAAGGTGTGGATTTAACTGCTTTGGTGTTAAGTCTATTCAGCAAATACGCGGTAGTGCGAAGTGCATGACCCCACAAGTATGCCGGTAAGTTCGTGAACCTCATCATTGATCGAACCATATCTAATAAGGTTCTATTCCGACGTTCGGAAACTTCATTAAGTTGAGGAGTTCCAGGTGGAGTCCATTGAGATTGTATCCCATTCTCCTTTAGATAGTCAATGAACTCGATGCTCAAGTATTCTCCCCCACGATCGGATCGCAGCTTCTTAATACTTCGTCCGAGTTGCTTCTCTACTTCGTGTCTAAAATATTTGAACCTTTCAAATGTTTCGGACTTGTACTTCATCAAGTACACATACCCATACCTAGAGTAATCGTCGGTAAATGTAGCGAAGTAGTTGTATCCACCCTTCGCACTAACACTTAGTGGACCACATACGCCTGTATGGATCAAATCCAAAAGACCCTCGACTCGTTCCATTTTCCCTTTGTAGGGTGACTTGGTCATTTTCCCTTTAAGGTTAGATTCACAAGTTTGTAGTGATTTCTTGTCCTCCAAAGAGAACAATCCTTCACTAACAAAATCGTTCATCCTTCTTAAAGAGACATGACCTAATCTAGCGTGCCAAAGTTGTGCGGGGTTTTGATCTATCTCATTACGTTTTGCTGATATAACATT